GGGAGGGTGGGGAAGCGGGGGAAGGGGCAATCAAACACCTTCCTCATTTGAGAGGCTTAAAAAGGGGTGTTTAGTAGTGTGTATCCTTCGAGAAAACTCAGCCGCCGATATTTTTGTTTTATACAATTCCGGGTATCTAGCGAGGTGTTTTTGAAGTTTTGTTTGCCGTCACTGACTTGGCTTTTCATTGTTTTTACGGACGAAATTTCTTCGTTCAATACAAAATATTGGCCTGTGGCTAACGTATCGTCCTCTGCCCACGCTGCTGTTGCTGCTGCTGCTCGTTTTGCATGCTTTGTTCTTTCATTTGCGCCTTTTGAATTTAGGCAGTACGGAGGGTGCTATCACTCACACTTATACTGCACGTAAAATCACGTCAAAGTTCGCACTTGGCACTGTGCCATCTGGAAAATCGTATACCTAAACTGAGCTTTAATTTACACTTGTGCCACGACTTAGGACATTTCAAAGATGTTTGTAAAGAAGTGGCCACTTCGCTTGCCGACCAAGCCGGAGGGGCTCGGGAGCTTGCGCATATTTTACTTCCATTTACTATTTTTATACGTAAGTCACTAGATTTTTTTAGTGACAAAACCTAATCCGTAATTTTAGCAGCATAATCTACAACCCAACATGCTTCCCATAAAAAAAGTATTTCAGGAAGTGCCTCCTCACCACTTGAGGAACCGGTGTCTGAGGTTGTTTTATTTCTCTAAACTACCAGCACATTTTAATTCTGTGAGAGATGAATGGTGGCATAAAAAAGTTCAAAAAGGTCTTTCGAATTGTTATGAGGCTTTCGATGTTGCAAAAGTTCAACTATAGCTTTGTGGAGGGCGAAGGCATAAGGCATGGTTGAAATCGCCTCTGAATTTCTTGCTATTATGGATAAAAACGCTTGGAAGTGCCCGGCGAATAGGACTTTGTCAAAAAATGTCTTCTTTCTTAATAGGTTAAAGTGAGTGAGCACGATGCCACTGCATTATTTTTTTAATTTTAGATGGTATGTGTTTATGTAAGAAGTAAGGAAATAAAAGGGGAATGTGAATAAGTTAAAATCTGAATAGGAACGTTTCGGTCCATCAAGTCGCATACATTACTGTTCAGTGCATTTCCGGTGCGTACTAGCCTCCCCCATGTAGGTATTTTGCTGAACACAGATGCCCATGCAATCCCGCACGCTTTCTCTGCCATATTTCATTGCTTAATGTGATATGTGTAAACGCTGTTTTTCTTGTGCTCAATCTTCTACGAAATGTAATAAAATAAAATGTTGTCTATTTCCGTAAATACCGCACGAAATGGTAAACTGCGCTGTTCAAACTTGAAAAAATCGCTTTTCTTTTCTTTTTGTTTCCAGCCACTTTCATTCTTCGTTAACTATTCCATAGCAGTATTCGTACATTCTTAGAGATGTTTCCCGAACTTAGGAGTCAAATATGTCGCATTCTTACACGCCAGAAGCAGTAGTCATATCAGATCTTTCAGTCCTGAATTTCACATCCCAGTTAGTACCCAGTGTATGTTCAATGTAATATCACTTCTTATAAAAGCCCTCCCTTCATCCTTGAAATATGTTACATTTGCTAGGTATTTCTTGTCGAAAATAACAAAAGTATCCCTCATTCTTATTTTTGATACCAACTTCATGCTTAAACTCTTAACCGGTGGGTTTAGTGAACAATTCAGCCCTGAAATTGGCGTTATTTGTGCCTGAATTTTCGACGTTCCGGAAAGCTCGGCGTCGCATGACATTTAGTTTGATCTACGTCTGATCTACAATTTATCTTCACACTAAAATTTTAAATGAAGTAGGTCACGAATTATGTCGCACTCCAGCTGGAAGATTCGGCGCCACTGACACAAGAAGTTACCTTTGAAATCATTCAGAAAATCACAATAGCAAAAGTTTCAGCAACGGGCCATGACCAAGCACACACTGAAAGAGGAATTTGAGATGTGTCTCGAACATAGTCTAGGCCTCAGCAATTTTACAAGGTCTTGGTCGCACTGGATTGATTGAACCACCCGCTTTATACTGCAGGTCGAATGGCTCTGAACCTATTCAGACCCACTCGAGCTTCTCTTACACATTCATTCGCTATCTTGTACACATAATCCACACATCCACATGTTATACTGGCCGCAGTCTACCCAAAAGTGGGGTACTGTAACACGCAGTAGCATAGCTCCAGTACATGTATGCTGAAGTTTCTATGAGTGTGTGTGGATTTTTCGGGACTGGGCAAAATCATGTCGTAAATGCAAGAATTAGGCATTTCGAATTTCATGCTTACTCTCTTGCAATGAAAAACAGTTTCGGACAGGAATTCACCGAGTTGTAGCAACAAGATCTTTTCCACTCGATCCAAGTATGGGAAAGTGAGGTACTCATTTGGGCGAATATAAATGGCGCCAGTTTTACGCTTAAACTTTCAGCCAATGGATTTTAGTCAGCAATTCATTCCTGCAATCGGCGTCATTTGTGACTGAAGTTTCTGGGAAGTTTGACGACTTCCTGGAGTATTCGGTGTCGCCTGACATCTACTTTGATCTACATCTGATCCACAGTTGGTCCTCACACTACAGTTCTAAACGAAAGTCGTAAATAATGTCGTGCTTCAGCTGGAAGATTCGATGTCGCCAGCACATTGTTGAATAAATACAATTTATCATTTAATAAAAAAAGCGATGAAAGAAAAATTCAACTGCCTAGGATTAATGCAGTTCCGCCTGTAGGCGACATGAAACCAGCCAGCTAGTTAAACCAGACCGTATAATGTGCAGAAGCTATAGATATCAGCGCGCGTAAACCCTCTGCAATAAAGCACGTCGGCAGAAAAGTTAACTACGCCATCATTGACATAAAGGTCAGAGGGTCATCCTGTATCCAGCATCTAGTACAGATATATGGTACGTACTATATAGACATCTGCGGCGTTGCACGCAGGTTGATCCCCACAAGCTGTTGCTAACCCATAAGCAACCATTCGCCATCTTCTGAGAATAATCTCCGCACCAACATGCCTACTGGCCGCATCCTGGGCACATAATTGGGGCACTGTTACACGTATAACATGGCTTCCATATATATTCGCGGAATTTTCTATGAAGTTGTCTTTGAAGAGCATTTAAAAAATCATCTACAAAAAAAAAGGTTTTCAGTAACGATCTACAACTAAACGCTTTGTTTTCATTGAAGGAGAAATCAGAGGTCCGATTCGAAAACAGTTTGAGCTTCAATTATTTTACCAGGCGTTAGCCGCCGCATTGCATGAGTTAAACCGTACTCGCTTGGAACTGCAGCTCAAATGGCTCAGCTCTTTGCTCCATAGTACGAAGCAAGTTCAGCAACATTCTTACATTCTTAGAGATTTTTGCCAAAGTTACGAATCAATTTCGTAGATATTCTTACAGGCCAGAAGCAATCATGTCAGGTCCTTCAATTTTGAATTTTATATTCCGTTTTATATTCAATGTGTATACCACTTTTGATAAAAGTCTCCTACCCTCCTCACCTCCCCTCCCTCTCCTCCTATCCTTTTGTCTTTGGAAATATCTTCTATTTGCTAAGTATTTCTTGCCGAAAGTAACAAAAGTATTTCTTATTTCTGACGCCAATTTCATGCTTAAACTTCTAGCCGGTAGGTTCCACTTAGCAATCCATCTCTGAAATCGGCGTTATCTACGCCTAAAGCCCTTGGAAACTTCGACGACATTCTGGGAAGTCCGACGTCGCATGACACTTAGTTTGAAATACATCTGACCCACAGTTGTCTTTTCATACTAAAATTCTGAACTGAAGAAGGTCAGTTTAGAATTCTAATTGAAGGTCGTGTTCTAGCTGGAAGATTCGAATTATCTTCATAGACTTCAAAAAATCACCTTTCAATAACGGTGATTTTTTGAAGTCTTTGAAGACAATTCGAATCTTCCAGCGACTTTTTGGTGTACATTTTACTGGCTCCGGGTTGCCTAGCGTGTGGGTATCCTGTACTACATGTAAAATACTTGTCCCAGCAACCACTTCATCGATAGCCCTCCACGATTTTCATGATTTCTTTTGGTACCAAAGCCAAGTACCACGATTTCGATCAATTCCTTGAGCTGCACTTATCCTGCGCTTCCGCTGGCCCAAGTTTCGCCGACAAGTCATGTGAACTGTATTATGTGGCAAACTAAACGTCTTCATTTAGGCCGCAAATCAGGTATGACAAGAAGGATTTTTACTCAGAGGAAACAACAAATTTTAACATTGTGAAAAAAAAAAAACACGACATATTTACGGCATGAATAACAAAGCTGAAACTGTTGCACGAACTGTTAACAATTGTTTAAAGACAAAAAACAAAA